TCGACCCTCAGAGGTCATGTAGTGGTTAAACAAATTAATACTTGTCTTATGACCGCATTTTTTTCGGAAAGAAAGAAATTGAGAGATTCTTGAATCAAAAATAAGAGTTTATTCATTTTCTTTTTTTTACAATAATTGATTGACAATGATTAACTTAAAATTAATAATCTTAAAAATACAATTTTTTTTTCGTAAATGTAGCATCTAACTGTTGAGTAACTGCTCAAAATTACCACCTCTCGTTTCAATACATAAGTTCATATTCATTATTTGTCATTGAGGAAATTGCGTACTGCACATGCGAAATGTGAAGGCGCGCCATCAAGTTGTACCTACATTCTTAATCTCGTATTTAGATCGATATTTTCTAGTAGAGGAGGCATATGATCGTGGAGTAGTTCCAAGAAATGTTGCTCATTAACGTTATGGTCAAAAAAGAAAGGTCCAATCAAGTAGCCATTCACAATACCACACCAGACGTTGACACTTCAACGGTGTTGATGAACAATTCGTCGATACCAGTGAGGATTATAATTTGACCAATAGTGGCAGTAATGTTGATTTCAGTTGCCATCATATTTCAATGTTGCTTCATCCGAAAAAGGTACAAAACGAAAAAAATTAAGATCTACTTGACTCATTTGGAAAGTCCATTCACAGTAACGTATACATTCTAACATATTATTGGGCGTCAAAGCCTGCGTTAATGTAATATGATATGGATGATAATGACTGGCTCGCAAAATTCTGAGAAACGTAGTCTGAGGAATACCATTTTCTCTGCTTATCTGGCGTGAGCTTATGTGATAGGATTAGGATTCATGTGAATAAAGCAAGAACCACCAAAATGCGAACGTCATTTCCGTTTTACTTATAATGTCGCCTTTCGTGCCGCAAATGACCATTTCGTGCTCTCCTTGTTAAATCCCTAATAATCAGTACATTTGGGTGAAGTCTACGTTCGTAACACTGTGCATAAAGTCATGCAGCTGCACGATATCTGCCGTGAGATATATATATATATATATATATATAGACTCTCCTAAAACTAAAAGTATATTAATTCTCTTATTTGGAATGTAATTAGCCATAAATATGTATTTTTAGTAAATAATACATACTAAAAAACTCATTCTATCAAGTTCCATAACTTTGAATTCGTTCTAAAATTTTGAAAATTACGCAGTATCTTCATCTGTTTGAGTCGCTGTGTTATATGCAACAATTTAAAATGGCTCCAGGATGAAGGTTTCAATTGAAAAACGATTCTGATTTTTCCTTGACCTTGCGAAATTGAAGGACTCCGTACAAACCTTATAGGTTTGAGTTCCCAGTCGGAATATTAATTTTTATTCATTCATGTCATTTAGGGATTCTAAAAATAAATCAGGGTTTGTGACCTTCACTTTAAGTGATTAAAGTAAATATTTATGGAGGATTAAGACTGTGTAGCACGTCAACCTTGAAACTTTATCGAAATTCGACAGGTAGTCGAGGATTCTTTGTTGTTATAATCACGAGGTAGCAGATAAGTCGCTAAGTTCGGTGGTAGCGGCGACCCAGCGCCGACGCGCGGCCAAGCGAGCGAAGTAGGGCCTGTGAACGTCCAAAATTATCGTTCACTGTGTATCATTTAATAACTGTTTAATTAATTTAAAAACGGATTCTTAAAGAAAAAATGTCAGAGAATTAAACAAAATAGAATTTTTTAAATGAAAATGATACTTTTTGTGATATGGGCAATTGTTTAAAAAATTGTCGGAAACTTTTGGAAAAATAGATATTAAAGTATTGTTTGCTTAATATCTTCAAAGAACACTCTTTTGCGCGTAATCAAAAGAATAGCCCGGTGGACGTCGCAACGGCAGCGGGACGTCTTTGTGGTCTTACGCTGAGACGTTTTCTTCCAATTAGGGCTACGCCTTCCGATATGTCGGGCTCTTGAATTTTATGATTGATTTCGATAGCAAAAATCCTCAAGAACACGCAGGGGCAAGAATTTTTCAAAAAAAAAATACTTTTTAAGATATGAGCAATTGTTTAAACAAAAAGTTAATAACTTTCGAAAAAAATTTTTTATTGTTTATTGTTGTAATTATTTCGTAATTTTAAGGAATTACAAGTATTTTGAAAAAAATCCGACTTCGATATCTTTATTAGTTTTTAAAATATAGCCGTTTGAAAATTTTTTATCATTTTTTTTTAATTGTCGATAACTTTTATATAATTAATGTATCGTCATCAAAATTTGAGAAAAATCTCACTTTCATGTGTACAACAATTTTGCCAAATTGAAAAAAATCCGTTAAGGGTTATAAATCAATCGAAATAGCCAAGAATAACCCATATACGAGGGTCGTTTGAAAAGTCCGTGTAGTCAGAGAGATGGCGCTACTAGTGCGTATCAAGGTTATTTTTAGTTAGTGGCATATCTTGGAAGAGCTCACACCAAGTTTCAGGCAGATTGGCCAATTACTTTGCGTTTTACATTCGTTTCAATCAAAGAAATCGAGTGGTTGTATAAGAATGGACGAAAAAGTATTTCGTGTATTAATTAAATAATACTTTTTCAAAGGCCAAACGCCTCAGGAGATTAAACAGAAGCTTGAAAAACATTATGGTGATTGTGCACCTTTGATTAGAATGGTTTATAAGTAGTTTCAAAATTTTCGGAGTGGCCATATGAGCACAAAAGACGCTGAACGTTCTGGACGCCATGTTGAGGTTACCGCTTCAGAAATCATTGATAAAATCCATGATATGGTGATGGCTGACAGAACAGTGAAGATGCGTGAGATTACTAGTACTGTAGGCATCTCGAGCGAATGAGTACATAATATTTTGCACCAACATTTGCATATGAAAAAGCTAACCGATAGATGAGTGCCGCGACTGCTCACGATTGACCAAAAACGAGATCGTGTGAAGTGTTGCAAGAATGGTTTGCAGCTGTTCTAGTAAAATCCGCAAGACTTTAAGCGTTGTTTCATCACTGTAGATAAAACATGGATACGTCACTACACTTCTGAGACCACAGAATAGTCTAAACAATGGGTTACCAAGGGGGAATCTGCTACCAAAAAGGCGAAGACAATTCCTTCGGCCGGGAAGGTTATGGCGACTGTCTTTTGGGATTCGCAAAGAATAATCTTCATCGACTATTTGGAAAAGGGTAAAACCATTACAGGGGAATATTATTCATCGTTATTGGATCGTTTGAAAATCGACTTGCTAGAGAAACGTCCACGATTGGCCCACAAAAAAGTCCTCTTCCACCACGACAATGCGCCAGCTCACGCCTCAGCAGTTGTGGCCGCAAAACTGATGGAGATAGGGTTCCAACTCGTTTCACATCCCTCCTATTCTCCAGACTTGGCTCCATCGGACTACTATTTGTTCCCTAATATGAAAAAATGTCTGGTGGGAAAAAGATTTTATTCAAACGAGAAGGTGATTGCAGAAACGAATGCCTATTTTACAGACTTGGACAAATCCTATTATTAGGAAGGGATTAACAAACTAGAGCAGCGTTGGATGAAGTGTATAAGCTTAAAAGGAGACTATGTTTAAAAAGAAAAATGATTTATTAAAAAAAATCAAGTTTATATTTTTGAACGGACTTTTCAAACGATCCTCGTATATCCTTAAGCATAGGGCCTAGTTCCTAGGGACAAATGAGTCATGAAACACGCACTGCTTATCTACTATTTAGGACTCCGATTCGATAGCATCGAAGAGAAAGGATTCTCTTAGTATCACGGATTGTTGCACCATTTTTGACTGTAGCAAAGTTTGCGCTGTTTAGTATACCGGGTTGTCGTGGCCTTCGCAATGACTTCACTGGCGTCTAACCAGCTGTGACCTGACCTAGGGATTTCGGTTTCGAATGCACCAGTAATAGAAACGGCATGAATAATAGAAGCATCAGCAGTAGCATGAGCAGCAACAGCATAACCAGCGTGAACTCTCTCTTTCTCCTCTGTCATTAGAAGCACGTGCGACCTTCACAAGCATCGTTGATCCGAGGTGACCTTTCACCCAACCATGAGCATTAGTGCAGTGTCTGAACGATCTATTATTCTTGTAACCGAATGATGAATTTTACTACTATATGAACAAGCATTCGTGCCGACCGGCAGTGATTGAGCACTTGTCTGAATATGCTGTCTCGCCCGATCGACGCGACGGGCATGCTATTGCCGGGCCATAATTTTTGTTTTTTTTTTCGTAATTTCGTATTTTGTTTTTTTATTGTTGTTGTAAATGTTTCGGTAATACACTTTATTTATTAATTGATTTAACAAGATTTATGCTATTACGTCCTCTTCTTTCTTTTTCAGGCTCTTTTATTTCGCGAATATTGCAATCTGTATACCTGGTAGGTTACTCAGTAACTGAGGCATTCATACCCGCATAAATAATTTTCTAAATAAAGTAGTAGGCAGAATATTGAATGTTGAAAGTGTTAAAATCAACTTTCCCTTTGCGTAGATTACGATTGACATTCCAAAAGTACCATGCTGAAGCAAACTCATATTTGTGTTAATAACAATAGAATAATTCATTCTCATTCCTTGGAGCTTCTGGATAGCTATCATTCGGTCACTTTTGTTCACCCTCTGACTCTAGAACATTGCTCACATACATATAGGAGAAACCTATTCGGTGACTTAGCCCTGTCTTCCGACCCTCAAGACATTCTGCCTCATCTAGATGGCAGGTTCTTCAGGTCAACGGTGTTATATACAATTGCTAGGATCTTTCACACTCCCACGTGTGAATGATTTACTTATTAACTTTAAAAATGATGAATAATCACTATACAATTACTCTAAATATTTTTATATTTAAATAAAAATGATTTTTTTTTTGACATTTAAAGCTTATTTTCTTCTATTATATGACAGTTTAACAAATAAGGGCGGCAATTTAGATATTAAAAAGCAAAAAATATAATGATCTATAAATTTTAAATAATAATTTCAACAATAATTTTGCAGAATAATTCAACCCCATCCGAATACGTATACGTATTCAAAACGATTAGCAGAGAAGTTAATAGCAGATGAGTTTCCTAAGCTACCATGCGCGGTCGCACGTCCATCTATAGGTAATTATCTTATCTATGAAAGTTGATCCAATAAATAATGAATAATGAAATATTTTTTAAATAAATAATATTTTTGATCGAATAATAAAATATTATAATGAATTGGTATTATAATGTTAGCGGAAAAGTTTTTGACACATAACTTTTCACCAAGTGCATATTTCTTGGACATATAAATCTCTAGAAAGTTAGGGACCTTAGCTAACTATAAACTAAGGGATAAAATCGATTCCATCAAATACAATAATTTTACTTTTATTAATGTTGTGAAGTGGTTTTTTATGACCAAAATCTATTTCAGGTTGTAGGGTCCTTTACAAAATTTACTGAAAATGGGAAAATATAATAAATATTATAGGAAAATAAAATAAGAAAAATCACCAAGAATATAAAAAAAGAATGTTTATTTGTTTTAGAATAGAACTATTTCAGACCAAGGTTTTAGAACAACTATTTTACTATTTAGAAACATTATTTAACATTTTAAAACAAACTATTTTAGAAGAAGATTTTAGAAATTTGAAGACAGCTTATCCATCGAAAAACGTTTAATTGCATCAAGTAGCACATTAAAATCCACATCGTACAATTTTTTCCATTTATTTTTAGACGACATGGCTAAAAACATCGAAAAATACATAAAAAGATCGTTAACATTTTAATGTACGTAACAGAAATACATTGAAACATAAAAAATTATCAACATACGAGTATTTTATAGGTATTGCTTATTCATTAGTAAGGTTCAATCAACGGAGATATTCCATCATTTATCAAAAAAAAAAAACACAAGTACCCACAACCGAACTAATTTCAATGCTCAGAACTAAATTTTCCAACCATCTTGGGAAGTGTTGAAAAAAATTGTTGATGGCAACATATTAGCTGCAATCGATATTGTATTAAAAAGTAGGAATAAAGTCCTATTGAATAAATATGCAGTACACTTACCTTCGTCGATTCACTTCGTTTTATTATATTTTTGAGAAAGTTTGAATAAATTTTCATGGTTTTTTTTTCAAGCATAGAAAAATTAATATGTTCACAGCACAAAGCGGAAAATTTTATTCGCTTCGATATTCGGTGTAGAAAGACGCGTTTATATAATACATAAATAACATTTCTCATAAATGATGTCCTGTCAACAGAAATATAGGAGTATCCACAATCGAACCATGTCCATAACCGAACCTCTTACCTTATAATATTATAATGAATAATCGAATCGGTGATTCGAACATATCCAAGTGTAAAAGTGTTATGATTTGTTATGGATATGTCTTACTCAATATCTTGGGGTATCAGTCGTGCTCTACTTATGCTTTACAAAGACCGTTTTGGTATATCGATGTTGAAAGAATTTATACTTCTTAAGAATTTAAAATTCAAACTAAAATTAAATGGAAAGCAAAATTAGGTTTAATTAGTGGAAGTATACAAATGATGAAAATATTTTAATGAGAACTTTCTTTTTGTTACAATTTTATACGTTTTTTTATTGGAGGTATCAAGACTACTTTTTTTTATTTTGTAGGTACTTATCTTTATTTTGATTATTTATAATTTTTTTTATAATAGTAGGCAGCTTACGAAATTCGCGAACTAAGAGAATCTGGAGTGAGAAGGAGTGCACGTGTCATTATATTATTTATAATTAGTCTTATACAGGGTGAATCATTTTAATTGATGTGGCCAATTATTTCGTTCCGAAAGCATGATAGCGAAAAATAGTTCAGATAAAAGTTTTAGGGTTTGAAGGGAGACAGCCGATGGAGACCTCCAACTTGACCTTAAACTTTAGTTTCAATTTCATTTGACAAGGTATGACTTGTGGTCTCCGGGCCTTCAACCCCCCAAACCTCAGATTCTTATCCCTTCAACGCCTTGTACTATGGAAGGCTATAAACCAGAAGCCTTAATCGCTGAGCCCTGAGGGGCTATTACCGGCCAAATAACCCCCTAAATAATTTCCTATCTCTGTAGGGGAGTGATGTGGGGTGGAGGGGGCAGAGAGACAGAGAAAGCGTGGGGTTATTGTGTGTTTGGGTGGGTGGTCTAAATGTGTGTGTGGATGTGGGGTGGTGTAAATGTTGCTGTATATGTGATCGGTGACAGAGGGGGGAGATGTGTGTGTCTGCGTGTGGTGTATTGTGTAAGTGTGTGTGTGTGTGTGGAGAGTTATTTGCATGTGTGTAAATGTGTATATGTGTATTGGGAGAGGGGGGGTTGAATGTGTGTGGTTGATGGGGTGGCGAGTTGAAGGGATTGAGTGTGTGTGTGGGTTATTATGTAAATGTGTGTGCGCGCTTGCATTTGTGTGAGTGTGTGCGTGTTTATGTGTGGAGTTGTGTGCGGCGGTTGCGATCACGACACTCTCAGGAAGCTCGATTAAAATCCGCTTATCAAAAACATGGATGATGCACATAGTGCACCATATGGCCAGCCTCGCGGCTGGCCAGGTCACTTTGTGCAAAAATCTTTTGTCAAAGCGGCGGACAGTAATTGTCTTCCTCAGCAGAGAACGGAGACTCCTCAAACAAACAACTCGTTGTTTTTGGGAGAGGACGTCGAAAACTTCTCTCTTTTGTGTACGGGCATATACAAATGCTGAAGTACAAAATGCGTCACCGATTGCCCTCGACAAGCAACTAATGCTAGGCGACCCGAAGTGAATGCAATGTATATTTGAACGAAAACTTGCAATTACAAGTGCGGATGTGTGTACCTTCACGCGGTGGCGCTGAAAACGCTGTCTCTGTAAAGAAACAGTAGGCAAAACACACAACGCTTGCCCCCAGGGCAATAGGCCATTCGGCCAAACAAAAGAAACAACACGGACCATGACAACACGTGGTGAGGTGCGGCCTGTAAACGCCCAAACATTCAACGCGGAGTCTACCACACCCCAAGAGCTAAACTCGAGCCCAGAAAAGCCAAAATCCGGGAGTCACTTGAGGGGAAATCTCTTAGGATTGTGGTACCACGCGCCCTCTTAGAGGACGGGAGACCGCTCCGGGAGCTAGTTGCAGAGGACCAATGGTCCCGGCAATCCGAATTTAATTCGGGTAGATAAGAAATTACTTCCTATCGGCTGGCAATCGATAGGTGCCACTACTGTGGGTAAAGAGTCGTGGCCGTGGTCATAGCAGCCACCCAAAGTTCTTTGCCTCGAGCTCCTGGAGTAAGGCCCGACACCTTTGTGCGAGAGAACAGTCCATTGGGCCGAGTAACTCTCGATGACTAGAACGCACTACGGATGCCGAAACCCTTAGGAAAAATATTTCCACAGTAGGGCAGCATCCTTCCAGCTAAGGAATTGATTAAGCCCTAATAGCTAAAACAATTTTACATTTGAAAGCGAAATTAGTGGCTGTCAGCTCCCTTTGAAAGCGAAAACCATGCACTAACGTCCATCAGATCCAGTGCTGCTAATAGCGAACACAGGCTAAGATGATAGAAAAGGCGGAAACCCGACATGCTCATTCAAATGCTACTTTGGTGGCAATTTGTAAAATACCTAACACTGACTTGACCAAAACGAGGTTTGATTAATATCAAACCCAGCGTGAAAGATAAACACGCTGGTAGCCTCGTAAGTAGTTTTAAGTTATATTAAAATTAAATTAGTTCTTAAGTAGTTAACAATAATTTAAGCAGTAATATAAGCAGTAGTGTAGTAAACAGTATTAAGAAAGTTACCAATCAAAGTTCAATTAAAACTAAAAATAAGAAAAAATTAAAAATTACAGATTAAATCCAATCAAAAGAAATAAAACAAAATCAAAATAAATAATCTAATAACAGATTAAAAAGCTAGAAAAATAATTAGCTTATTCAATTGTAAATAAAAGAGCCATGAGAAACCATGGAGAAACCCGCTAAGGTAACTAACGAAGCTCACGTCAACACCACAAGTACTCACTACTCGCACTCGAACGCCACTCGCTTAATTGAACGCGCACGTTAACGCCAGAACTAAAATTGAAAGCCACCCTCCAGAATCGCCAGCAGCGATCCCAAAGGAGGAAATATATAATTAGACATTGCGTTGTACCTTGAAAGCGATATGTTCAACCATTCTAGGTATAATAAGGCGAGGAAACGTAAGCAGGAGGCGACCGTCGAGAAACCAGAGCACTGCTCCAATACTCCAGCGTCAACTCAGTTTCCTTCGCAACCAAACAACCTTGACGAAAGGAAAGACGATTGCCCACCAGTTAAGAGGTTTAAATTGAACGCAGAACAAAACCCTGAACTGGGCCCGAAACTGAGGATCATACAATTGAACCTCAACAAAAGGTAAGTAGCCAACGATGAGCTGGAAGAAATCATGACAGACAGAAATCTTGACATACAGGTGGCACTAGTGCAAGAACCATATCACTGGAATAACGCGATTTCAGGTATGGGCAGCATCGCAGCTATTCATGGAGCCAAAAAAGGCGAAAAGATCCAAGCTGCGATACTTTATAATCCGCAAAAAGTCACTGCTACCAAGATTTCTCATCTGTGTGACTCCCACTGTGTTTGTGCACAAGTAGTCGCAGCCTTTGGTGAAATTTATTTCATAAGCATCTATTGCCAGTTCAGCCACAGCAGGAAGACCTATCTTGACAAACTAGCTGAGACTCTGAAGCAATTGAAAGGCAAAAGAGTCTTAGTTAGAATGGACGCAAATGCCAAGTCAAAGATCTGGTCTAATACACAGGACAAGACACAGTGCGCTTGAACGGTCGTTAAACACGAGGTGAAAACCACATTGAATTTTCTTCTTGTAATTGATTCTAGAGCATGCATAGACCCTATTTCCGAAAGAAATTAAAAAATCCGCTTAGCCGTTTTTTTTTTTCATTTTTTTATTCTTGAAAAAATTGATACTTTGAAATAACATTCAAAATTATTTAAAAAATAGTTTATTTATGTTAATAATTCATAGTAAGTTCTTATAGATCTATAAAATGTATATATATAAAATATGTAATATACTTATTAGAGAGTAT